AGCCACTCGGTGCCAGCTGGAAAACAGAGCTAGCCCCGGCTCAGATTCACCACGGGCCGGGCCGCTGCCAAGGAGAATGGATTCACTTTAATGCTGGCAGATACAATATGTTCTTTGTGTTTGTAAAAGCAGGAGAAAGAGATGGACAGAGAGAAAGAGAAGAAATGCAGGGTAAGGCTGGATGGCAGCGGTGTGGACGGATTGGTTCTGGACTGAGCAAAGGAGGGAGTGAAAAAGGGAAATGGTGGTTATGTTTTAAAGAACAGGAAACCCAGTCAGAGCACCTGACGCACATGATAAGTATCAAGGGCTGCGCCACGTGCCGCTAAACTGCAGCCAAAGCTCTTTTCTGCAGGGGTGGTGATGGTGGTGGTGTGCTGAGGGGGGTGTGTACCGGCTAATCTCTCTTCTGAGTGGGCGCGCACTCAAAGCTGCTTTTGTTTCTGAGGGCTACTTTCACGAGGACGTACAATCCCCCCGCGTCCACTCCTCCCCTTCTCCTTTTTTTCCCCTCTTTATCTCCCTGTTGTTCACAGCACACTCCTTCTCTCTGAAACACTGTGGGTGTTTTATTTGATTTGCTGATCATTCTGTTTGGACGTGACTGCAGGGCTGTGTGAAAGAGAGAAAGGGTGTGTGCATACGTGCATGTTTGCATCCCCATGGGGTAGTGCATGTCCTTGTGTGTCCACATGCATACGTTCGTGTGGGAAACACTGATGGGCTTTCATGTTGCAAGAAGGTAAAATCAAAACAGCCAGTGAGACGGTTGGGCGCGGGAAAGGCTTTGATGTCGTGTCGGAGGCACATTAGCGTTTTTCACGTTGAGAGATGTGAGGGCCGGGGAAATGTTACCGCAAACAAAATAAATATGCAGCATAAACAAACCAAAAGAGATGAATTATGAGTTGGCTGCCAAGAGATGAAGCTGCTGTCAGCTCGGGAGAAAATGGGCGTGGGTGTGAGAATGCTTTTAGCTTCCCTGTGTATATGAAAAGAATATTTGAAAGTACCACAGTAATGTGTGACCTTGAAAACCAATCTAAACACATGCAACATAAATACCTAAAATAAGAATTTATTTGGACTGGAACCCTTGTTTGTCTTTAATGAAAACTGGATGGAAAAAAACATCATTTGAAATAGTAATTATTTTTCTTTGATGGAGGATTGTGTTCTATTATTCTGTATATTTGATTCTCCATCAGAGTTTGCCAAAAGTTAACTCATAATTGTAAGAAGAAAACATGCCAAATTGTGGTCTAAAGTTTGAAGAAGTTGATGAAATGAAAAAATAAATATCCATTACCATGTGAAACCCTTAACATATTACACTGTCTCTCCATAAACACTTCAACATCTTCCGACATATCTCCAGTAAGTTGTCATCACACGCAACCATACTAGCTGTCAGACCAAATCGATAAAAGAATAAAAAAAGCACTCAAAATGTTTTTTCTAGCATGGAAAGTCAAGTAAACACACTGGTGGGGTGAGGAGCGAGGGAGGGAGGGCGGAGGGGTGAGAAGAGAGGGAGGAGGGAACAAGCAGTTGCCTGATCATGACCATTTGTCTTTAAAGACAGCTGGACATGATCTGCTCCTCATTGGTCCCCAGTGTGGTGGCCCTCGTGAGGACAGAACACGGCGTCCAACACATTTTACCACATAAATGTATGTCCGAATAAAAAAGTAGAACAGTAAACGATAAACGGCACAACAAATCATCTCACACTTGAGAGTTATCAACACACACATACATATCATTGAATACCGTAATAACATATGCACACAAACAGCGCTACTAAAAAGTGTGCACGGACTAGAACAGTTAAAGCGTTTGAGGCCTCTTCTCTTCAAGGAATTATTTCAACACACCCTATGAAGCCAAACAGTAATATGTCCTCATCATAGACTCTAATGTGGGAAGATGAATAGCTGTCACATGATTCAATCGGGACAGTTTGATTACATTCCCCCGTCTCCTTAGAGCTAATAAACAGCCCAGCAGCGTGACACAACTCCACATTTCATCAGTGAGGCAACAATGACTCAGAAGGATAAGACTGCTGTGCTCTCTCCACTGAAATGAAAAACACACACACAAATCCTGATGTGCACCTCCATAAATATAAACTGAGAGCGACACATCAAGCACCAGAGCAGGGTTTTTTTTATGTGTGTGTGTTTAAAGGTAATCTGTCAGTGGCCTTGTCCACACTACTGTGTACTTGTGTGTATATCCGTATATTACAGCACATGAGTGTTTGTGTTTGAACCTCGCCAAGCGATTTCGGGTTTGCATCAAGGGTGTGGCCTCGCATGCGCTCACACAGGGGAGTCTTTATAAAATGAGGAACCCCCTGCCCCTCCTTGCGTTCTCACTGCCAGCTGCCACAACCACCAAATGCCCCCCAAACCCTCAAACACACACACACACACACACACACACACACACACACACACACACACACACACACACACACACACACACACACACACACACACACACACACACA